GAAAAAAGTTTACGTGGTGGCTCCTTAATACTAGCTGATAAATCATTATTATATAAAGAAAGTAAGGATATAGTGAGCCTCTCTGTTGAGCGAACTGTAGAAATGGCTTGTGTCGAGCTCGAGCACCTCATTTTTGTAAGTGTTTACAGACCCCCATGTGCTACTTATGACTATTTTGAAAGGATTGTGGAAGAAGTTTTGCTCAAACTTAGTAAACAGAACAAGTCTGTTGTAATATGTGGAGACTTTAACATCAATCTCCTTAAAACTTCTTCAATTAGTATTAAGTTTAGCTCATTGTTTAAATCGTATAATCTTGTTAATTTATTCTTAGAACCAACACGTATTGCTGGACCTAGTGCGACCTGTATAGATAATATTTCTACAGATGTTAAGCCCTTGCATAAATCAATTATACAAAATTTAAGTTCAGATCACTGTGAACAGTTGGTAACATTGCCTTACATACACAAGAAACAGAAAAATAAGGAAGTTGTGTTTGTTCCAATAAATGAACATCGCTTGGAGAGGTTTAGAATTAATATAATAAAAAGACTTCTATCACTTTCATTAAAAACAGTGCTAATTATTTGTATGGTACGTTATTTAAAATTATAACTTGTGAATTTTGTAAGATATTTACTTCTAAAACTTTCTCTTTTAACAGTCGCAAATCATTTAATGAATGGGCGAATGTAGGAATTTATAAGAGTAGGCGAAAGTTATACGAGCTTTATAATGACGGTTCATATAATAGTTGTGTTATATTTAGAGATTATGTAAAAACATATTCTAAAATATTTAAAAAAGTGTGCGTCACAGCTTAGGCTTTACATTTAAGTAACAAAATCAAAACTGCATCTAACAAAATGGAATAGTGAAACGGGCAAGGTCAAACCGCGCAACTCAGATTTTCAATTCAATATTAACAATAATTTAACTTGATCTGATCAAGAAGTTGCTATGGCTTTTGAGAAACATTTTACTGATGTTCCTTTTTTGACAACTAAATCATTAAACTCTTCTCCTACTGTCGCCGAATCATTGCTCAAACAAAATGTAAAGGCTTGTTCAAATACTTTTAAATTCCATAGAGTACTACCAAAAGATATCGTTAAATATTTTAAAACTATTGATGTTAAGAAAACGGCAGATTTATGGGGGATTTCCGTAAAAGTTATTTTATATATAATAGATATACTAGCATCTTATCTAGCCACTAAATTTAATACAAGCATCGAATCTGGTGTGTTTCCTATTTCTAGTGTATATTAATGACTTACCTTCTCTTGTAGAGGATAATCATGATATAGTATTATTTGCTAATAATACTTCCTTGATTTTAAACTTAAACGTCAATCATTTAAATGTGACGAAGTGAATAATGCTATATCAAAATTAGTGCATTGGTTCAACATTAATAATCTACATTTAAACGAAAATAAAACTAAATGTATTAAATTAACAACAACGAATGTTAAAAATCTGAGTACCAATGTGTTTTTAAATGGGGAAGAACTGAGCCCTGTTGAATCCACTGTTTTTCTTGGCATCACTCTCGACGCAAAGCTTCAGTGGGGCCCCCATATATCCAAACTAGTAAGCAGACTAAGTTCTGCAGCCTATGCTGTAAAAAAGATTAGAGGTCTCACTAGTGTTGAGATAGCTAGATTAGTTTATTTCAGTTATTTGCATAGCGTAATGTCTTATGGGATTTTGCTATGGGAAAATGCGGCTGATTCAAAAAATATTTTTGTTTTACAGAAGAGGGCCATTAGAGCTTATTAGCAACCCAAAAACCGAGAGAGTCTCTTAGAGATAAATTTAAAGAAATAAATATATTAACTTTGGCCTCTCAGTATATTTACGAAAATTTAATATACGAGTATGTACACAAAAACAAAGGTAGTCTTAGTAAAAAAGTGATTTACATTCTGTAAACACGAGGAACAAACACAAGCTAGTCATACCAGTTTCTCGACTCCTCAAAATCAGTAATTCATTCTTGGGGCAATGTATACGATATTACAACAAGGTCCCGGAAAGTGTACAGGCTCTCTCTATTAGCAAGTTTAAATGTTTTGTTAAGTTGAAACTGTATAAAAAGGGTTAAAATAGTATAAATGAATACATGGTTGATAATAACCCCTGGGAATGAGGCGATCGCTTCCAAGCTGTTTCTAAAATAAATTTTGTATTTATATAGTTTGTTTTCACCCATTAATGTAAAATTTACTTAAAAAAAAAGTCCCGCTGGGTTCCTTGCTGGTTCTTCCCAGGACAGAGGTATTTTTTCGAACCAGTGGTTAAATAAAAAATGACTTTCAATAAGAATTACACATGTGATCTATATTGAATAAAAAATTATTCTATTCTATTCTATTCATCGGAATAGTGTCGGATAAGGCTTGCTCATGGATCGGTACTCACACTTACAAATGGCTCCAACGATGATGTGTACAGCTGCCCATAGAACCTACTCAATCTCACTCAAAATCTCAGGTGTCTCGGAAACGATGCTGCCACATTCAGTGTTCAGCTTTGACAGTAGGCACTTTTGGCAGACATGTCTCTGGCAAAGATTTTGGAGCCCTGTTTTAACTCGATCGCTTCCTCAATACGAGTAGTATAAAAGTTGCGTAAGTCTCGCCGCATGCATTTGGAGATCTGTCTGTTCAGTTGCCTGTATGCTATCAAATCTACTGAAGACTGCAACTTCATTTTCCGTGTAACAGCCATGAGATTATGAGTGTGATCGGAGAGTTTTTGTGTTCTTCTGCGGCTTGTCGTGCAAAACTTAGCTCCAACCACATGGACAGTTTCCACAAGCTTGTCATTTATATCATCCACTGCATTGCAATCTTCCAGGCATTGAAAACGATTTTGTAACTCAAGATTTCAGGTTTCGGGATTTTGGATCAGAGCACGAGGGGGACGGAGTATTGACTTCACTAGACGACACCTCTCCAACTTAACGTTTAGGTTCAGTGTGCCTCTAACCATTCGGTGATCACTACCAGTTTTCACCTTCGCGATCACGGAGACATGACTGAACAGTTGTCGTCTGGTCGTCATAATGAAGTCAATCTCAGTTTTTGTCGAACCATCGGGGTTTGACCAGGTCCACTTTCTGTGGGGCCGCTTCTGGAAAAAAGAATTCATCAAAAAGAGTTTCTCTTTCGCCATGGATTCGGCCAGCTGCTGGCCTCTTGGGTTTCGTTGCCCTAATCCAAATTTCCATACTTTCAGCTCACCGTTCTCTCTTGTGCCTAGTTTTGCATTAAAGTCTCCCATTAACATCATATGGAAGGTTTTGGAGGAATGCTTGACTCTTGAGATATCCTTATACATTTCCTTCACCTTCTATTCGGGATGTGCCGAGGTTGATGCGTAAACTTGTATGACCTTCAGCGAATACCGTTTGGTTATTATAAGTGTGTATAAGGTACGCAACCCTCGTCGACACACTCTCAATCTTACTACGTTGTTAAGGAGAGACTTGTGGACGATAAATCTGACACCTCCTTGAGACAAATGAGCGCCCTCTCGGTGATAGAAAAAGCTGCCGGATTCGAGGATTACCGTGTCCTCCCCCTCTCTTCGGACTTCGGATAAGCTAATAATATTCCACCGCAACTTGTCTATCTCTTCTTTCAGCTGCAGGATCTTTTCGTCAGTCCTCAGGGTGCGTGCGTTATAAGTTGCCAGGTCGGGTCGTCTTATGTGGCAATCGAACCTCCACCAGAGATTCTTAGCACCCCCTGCCCCGCCGTTACTATGGTCGCCACCGTAGTCAGGAATAGCGGTGCCGAAGGGGCCGGGGGCCGTTAATTATTGTCATTGCTATTGCTGTTACCAGTAAGATGCTGCTGCCCATCTTCTGCCTCAGTTTCTCTCTGTCTCCTTTTACGAAACCCACGGGAAGATATGGGGTAATAGCTATTCTAGTGTAGTGTCGGGTAAGATGTTTTTTAAATATAATTAAACAAATGACAAGACAAGACAACTTAAAGTTAGTGAGTTCTGCAACCCATGTATACTTATAATTAATTTCAAACATGAACGCTACAGATACGTATACTTCACAGCTTGTAATGATATTGACTCTATACTAAGAACTTTGAGACCAGAAACAGTAATGCCGTAGTACATGGACGTAGAAAAGAGAAATGGATGGTACCTACCCAGGCAAACTTCTAGGCATTATATTTTATAAAGCAAGCACAGTTCTATTGTGGCTGCATCGGATTGGTCAGGTCCATCGGGAAAAGGTACACACTCGTACAGAACATCGACGTAAAGATGCAAAATAATGTGGGTTTCGGATAGTGAGTGACGAGGACCAGCGACACTTTAAAATGAGGTATTATATTTTAGCCTTTACGATTGACAATTCATTGGCATTTAAATTAAGCGAGGCTAAATATAGGGGTCTATGAGCATTCATTTATCAACGTAAAGTATCGTGTTCAAGTCATTCCCTTTATTGTGTCAAAGAAGTACAGAACACTCCACAATATAATTTACTGAGAGAAGAAATACACTATACAAACTTCACCTGCACGCGGTAGCGATGGCTGGGTTCTAACGTTTGATACTTGGTAAATTGTGATAGAGGGCACCATTATCAGAGCAAGAGTATCAGGTCTGAATTCAGCAATAAATTTACCAGGAGAAGATGCATCAGTTATTTCATGCTTGTAAGGTGCATATCTAGCATTGATTTGAAAATGCTGACAAAGACAGAAGAAAAAGAAAGATCATATTATCATTATCACAAACTTTCAAAGTTCACTGGTTAACATGGCGTCCGCCATAGATTGCCTAGCGGGGGAATATTTGTTACAGTTTCCACACTTGATCTCGAAACGGAACCGTCCGGTTAGCAACCGCCGTTTCATTTCCTTCCGTCTCATCTCACAATACCCACGGTATGACATGAAGAAATGGATTATCTTACGTCGCCACAATAAAACCAGATTACTCACACCAAAACTTACCTTCGCGGCTGGTGAGCTCGATGGTTCGTCGAACAACGCCCATATTTTAGGTTTGATTCTCTGCCAAATGCCAAGTTCTCCAGATAAGTATGCCTCTTCGTATCCGAATATTCTGGCAATTTCCTCTTCTGATGGCTTCTCGCTGTCGATGTCCAGCTTGTCCAAAATTGCCAATGTGTTCTGTGGACGATCAAATATAATTGTTTGTAATATTTTCTTGTAAAGAAGAGTGACAAACGAGCTTTAAGTAACACTGGTGATTTCATGCTGAAGCTAAGGCGCTGCACGTATAAACTTTTATTGATAAATTATTCACAGAGTACTAGCGTCAAATAACAGTTTAATGCTGCTGTGTTTCGTAAGGCGAGTGTAGAGTACCTTTTTAATGTAAATGCACTGCACTCTTTTCACTATCCTGAACGATCCTTCTACTCCTGAGTACTTGACCTCTAGATTTCAGTACCTAAGAGATACTCATAATTGTTTTCGCCGTTCTTCGGATAATCTAAAGTTGCTAACACCTTTACACCAAACTGGTTATATGTCCCACTCTTTCGCTCTAGCGGCTACACTCCGGAACGAAATACCTCTTGACATTAAAAAAGCTTCCAATAAGTTTCTTTTTAAAAACAAAGTTCGCAAACATTTTAATAAAGCAATGCAAGTGTGAATTAACGCTTTTTCTCATAGCATGATTCTATCGTCACATATTTTCCTTATTTATCATGGCACAGAAATATGTGTATATATATGTATATAATATATTGTATACTATATTTAATGTATTTATGTATGTGGACGTTTGTATTAATATATTTACATTTTATGATATATGTATAGAATATCTTATTTATATATATTCTGGTTTTTGGAACTTTGTTAACTTTTTTTCTCATTATTAGTTTACTTTTGCTGCACTACCTTCTATATGTTTTTTTTTTTATAGGATAAGGGTGACAAACGAGCACACAGTCCACCTGATGGTAAGTAGTTGCTGCGGCCAATAGACATCTACATCTATCCTCTATTACAAATCAAAATGTAGATGCGTTGTCACCCGTGAGGACTAAGATGGAATGCCTCATTTCCAGTAAAAAGGGCCATGTTTATCTCTGCTTAGCCTAATGGTTGACTGGGAGAGAATGCCGTAAGGCATTAAGTCCACCATATGTACGATTTTGCTTTTATGCATAAAAGTTTAATTAACTAAATGAGGCATTTCATCTTAGTACTGCATTTTGATTCTTAATGTGGATAGATGTAGAAGTCTATGGGTCACAGTATCGCCTCACCATTAGGTAGACTGTGTGTTCCTTTCTCACCTTTATTCAAGAGATTATGACAACTCAAGATTCACTAACGTGATCTAAAGAGGTAGAGTCCAGTCCTCAGGGGTGACAACGCATCTAAATTTTAGTTTTTAATTGAGGATAAATGTAGATGTCTATGGCCCACAGCATTATCATCAGGTGGACTGTGTGCTCGTTTGTCCCCCTTATTCTATAAAAAACACTAAGAGGGCAATCACCAAAATACGACTGATCAGAGTTTGCGAAATTGTAATTACTTAAAACCACTGCTGAACTAGACCTCTATATTTTCCACGGCTGCCATGCTTGGCTAGCGATTTTTAGACGTTATTAGAAAGACGCTGATGCCCATCTCCTAATTTTTTTCCCTCTGTCGCCTCCTACGACATCCACGGATTGATGTTTGTCCTTGTGAAATTTATGTATGTAAACTGTAAACCACGTAAACCACGATACAGGAGAAAATCCTAGTGTAGAGGTTACTTTTTTTTTTTAAGTATAAGTTCAAATAAATATCGTGTAATGGATATCCTTACACCACCACTAAACGGTAAATATGTTTATAAATTTATGTGTTTATTACTCTAAATAAATAAATTTGAGTTGAAATGCAAGTCGTTTGCTTAAGTTATTTAATACTATTTTAATTTATTTACTAGGTTGTTGGACTCCTTTCAGTTCGGGGCCTATTAATGACATGAATCAGCAGTACGTGCATTGCTGTATTCTGACAATGGATCAAAGACCTTTCTTTTTGAATTTAGTTGCAGGTGTTCAAGTTCTGCAAATGCTACTTACAGAAGACTCGATAGACTGGAAGTTTGTTTGTCATTATCTCGTGCTTGTTACTGGTGACAGCTTATAGAACTAATGTCTATGTTAAAAATTATTCTGTGGAATATGATGGGGACTATGCTTGGAGTTCCTATACGTGATAGAATCCATGACAAAAATATCTAGTCTAGGCTTGTTCCGGGAAGTGAATATTAGTGTAGTCCCTCACTAGATGACGTGAAGATCTGGTAAGATAAACGACACTTCGATATTTGCATTTGGCTCCCGTGCTTTAAAGATATCTATCGGAGTTGTCTATGCTCAATGTTGAACTTGTAATCGAGAGGAAATAAATCAGGTAAATATTTTTATGTAAAAAATTCACTTTCATATTTCTTTTAACTAATTATTAGCCAGTGCTTAACTACAATCCCACGTAGTGGTAAGTTATGATGCAGCCCTAGATGGTAAATCGCACTATCTTAGCGTAACAAAAGCTTATTCACTCTTGTCTTGAAGACACCCAAATTGTATTCGGACGGAAAGCTAAATGCCGGAAAATTATTCAACTCCTTTGCTATACGCATTACAAAAGACGAAGCAAACTCATTGGTTCTAATGCGTGGAATATCGACAACAAAGGGGTGAAGACCCACTAACAGTTGTCGGATGGTGGAAAGGAGAGGGAGGAATTAAAGCGTTGAATTCCTGCGCACACTCACAGAATTCCATCCTATAGAATACCGAGAGACTGGCTACTCTGCGCCTGTGCTTAAGGCTGACAAGTTTGGTTTCAACCAAATCAAGGTCATCAATGAGTCTCTTAGCACGTCTCTTCGCTGAGTCCAACGCTGCCAGGTGGCATTTTGCACCACCAGCCCATATGTGACAGCAGTACTCCATACACAACCGGACTTGTGCTTTATATAAAGTAAGAACAACTGAAGGCGATCAGTGTAATCCAAGGATACATTCCGGAAAGTAGGAGCCAAGTTGAGCAGGCTCCATTTAGCGGTGAAAAGACACGCTAGTTTTAGCGGTGAAGAGAGTTGCGTAGAGAACGGACCCTTAAGGAATACCGGCGTAAGTCGCCATAGTATCGGATGAGCAGCCATCAACAACGACTCGGAGAGACCGTTCACTCAGAAAGTCCTTCACCCAGACAATAAGAACAGAAGACAAGCTGTACGCTGAAAGCTTTCCCAATAGACTAGCGTGCCAAACCCTGTCAAAGGCCTTCGAAACATCTAGGGAAACAGCAAGTGCTTCACCAGTGTTCTCGATGGGCTTGGCAGTTAATTTATTTTGGCTAAACCCGTACTGAGGATCACTGAGAAGATCATTTTGCTCTAGGTATGCCATGAGGTGGGCGTTCAATATATGCTCCATAATTTTGCAGAGTATGGAGGTAATTGAAATTGGCCAGAAGTTCCCAAGGGTAAGGTAGCCTGAACGTCGTACTTGTCTAGATCGATCGTCAGCAGAAGATCGAGACAGTTGGCTGTGTGCCAATCCACATCAGGTACAATAGTCGCTTGTTGTACCAGCTGAGAGAGCCCCAGCGACAAGGCAAAATTCTACGCCTCACTCCAAGCGTGGTCAGTCTTTTGGTATGGGAACAACTAGTCCTGATGACAGGCATTAAGGTCCTACAAAAAAAACAACTGTGCATTAGGGTACTGATTTAGAGCCACATCAGAAGCTTCACTGAGGTTTTCTAACAGCCTAGTTGTCTTCTTGTCACCGCTGCGCGACCGGTAGATACAAGAATAAATAATTTTATCTATTCCTGTGTCTATCAATACCCAGATCGTAAAGAAAGTGGGGTCTTCAAGGTGATGGAGACGCTCACAGCAGATATCGTTGCGGACGTCAACATCGAATCCGGCGCGCTAATGGAAATTATGCTCCAATGTGTATCCAGGGTAGCCAAGGTACGCCACATCTAGAGGAGATGATCTGAGTCTCAATCAAGAAGAGTAAGTGCGGCTTGTCAGTCTCATGGTGGTAGTGGACTGCAATGAGATTACAGAGCAGGCTTCGGATGTTTGTGAGGTGCACTTTGATGGAGAGGGAGTGCAACCTCTGTACAAACTTACTCTTATTTTTCCTTTTTTTCAGAAATGGTGGGAGTACAGGTTGATAGAATGATAGTTGGATGCGGTGTCACACATATAACCTAGGGACGCAAACAGAGTCACAGCGTCGATGGTACCTAGCATGGAGATTGCGAGGAAGCCCGAACCCCCCTGAAAATCGCCACCAGGCCCTCTCCTCCGGTCGTCAACTGGAATGGTGGAGCCATCCCAGGATTTTTTGGAAGATGGCGGGGCAGCCTTTCTTGAGTGTCTGGTACATTAATCGGGCCCCCATGTATCTACGGTCGGCCAGCGGTGCAACCGTGCTTCGGATCCCGCTAACCTCCATAACCAAGTACTTGACACTAAGAAACGGCCGCGTCGCAAATGGTTCGTATGCTCAACGCAACTGTCCAGACCCATTCTTCCTAAGAAACGGTTTTCACCTGATATCATACCGGAACATGATTTGCATCATTTGGAGGTATGTCTCTGCCAGGTGGTGGTAATTAACCCTTGGCCGGCCTCACTAGTAAAGGACCAACCTACCACCAGCATATAGTGCTGCTAATTGTGTAGAAATACACAATTAACCACTGAGTTACTGAACCGTCTATACATATGTATCATGTCTAGTAGTTGAAAACTTGAGAGATTATTTTGAGGTCCCGTGTTCAAATCTCCCAAGTCGGGACAAAATCAGTTATAAGGTAGTCTCAGAAAATAAATTCCCAGTTACAGCAGTCAATCAGTAAGTTGGCGGTGTTACATCCTCATGTCTCGGGAAGTACGTAAAGCCGTTGATCCTGCGCCTGATCTCTCTTCGGTCGTGTCAGATTACCGTCTCATCGGACTATGAGAGTGAGGAAATGGAGAGTGCACCTGTGCTTGCGCAAACACTCGGCATATTCATGTCTGGTCGGAGACTAGCCGTGATCTATATATATGAAACATAACACAATACAAGAGCTCAAAAAAGTAAAATAATTTCAGAAGAAAAGAACCTTTGTTA